CCAAATCGCCAAGTCGTTGAGGGGCTAAATAGTGATAGGCTGCTAAATAAATCAACCCACGGTTCGGTACACAGTCAATTGCATCTCCCATGATCTCGTTGATTCCGATGAGAAACAGTAGCGGTGATATTATACATCCTTGTACCACACCTGTGACTACCCGGACAAGGCTCCGTTAAGCAGGACTCTACATGTGAAAACCTCGTACTATGCTTCGATGAGGTTGACGATTTTATCCGGGACTCCTTTGCGTCTCAGGGCGTCCCACAGATTTTCATAATTGAGTCGGTCGAAAGCTTTTGCGTAGTCAATGAACACTTAATAGAGGGACTCTTGGAATTCGTTGACCTGCTCCAGGATGAGATGTTTAGCATCAGCTGTAGCACAAGCTGAAATTGAGAAAAGCAGCTATCCACCATCAAAGGGGACATCCTTCGAATGGGTGATATCAGCTGCTTAGTCATATGACGAAAGCATGGATCATTCTCATTTGAGAAACGCTTGATATCATTCAATTGAGTGTAACCTGTACACATAAACGGAGCTTTGCTCGACATTCCGGAGAAAAAGCTAATCCAACCCGACACCAACCTGACTTCTACCAAACTCCAACCCGATGTTGACCGGACATAAACCCAAAATTGACCCGACAACAACACGACATTGGATCGACATGGGCCTTAAATTTGCCTTACATTGATCCAACATCACTTGCCTGTTCGGGACCATTTTGCTGGGTTTCTTCCATACTCCACTGTCGTATATCAAATGATAGTGAGTGACTCAATTGGCAGTGACGATGAGCTTCGAATGAGAAGTACTGATTCACTTCAGAAAAGATCGAAATCACTTCGAAAAGTACGGATTCAGTTCAGAAATTATTGGAATCATTAAGAAAAGTTCTAAATCATCTCAGAATGTATTAGACCACTTTATAAATATCCTGAGTCACTTCGGAAAGTACTGAATAACTCTGGAAATGTTCGGAATCACTTTTGAATTGTTCTGAATCACTTAATAAAAAATCTTAACCAAGAACTGAATCGTTCCAGATATGTTCAGAATCACTTCAGAAATGTTCGGAAATACTTCTGAAAGTCCTGATTCACTTCAAATAAATTTGGAATCACTTCTAAAAGAACAGAAACACTTAAAAAAAATGCTCGGCATCAATTCGCAAGGTATTTAATCACTTAAGGAAAGTCCTAATCACTTCAGAAAGTATTAGACCACTTTAGAAATATTCTGAGTCACTTCGGAAAGTACTGAATAACTCTAGAAATGTTCTGAACCACTTCTGAATTGTTCTGAATCACATAATAAAAAATCGGAACCACCTCTAAAAGAACTGAATCGTTTCAGATATGTTCAGAATCACTTCAGGAAGTACTGAATCACTTCAGAAGTGTTCGGAAATACTTCTGAACGTACTGAATCACTTCAAATAAATTCGGAATCACTTCTAAGATAACTAAAACACTTCAGAAATCTTCGGCATCACTTTCGCAAAGTATTGAATCACTTAAGGAAAGCTCTAAATCACTTCGGAAAGTACTGAATAACTCTGGAAATGTTCTGAACTACTTCTGAATTGTTCTGAATCACTCAACAAAAATCGGAACCACCTCTAAAAGAACTGAATCGTTCCAGATATGTTCGGAATCACTTCTGGAAGTACTTAATCACTTCAAAAGTGTTCGGAAATACTTCTGAAAGTACTGAATCACTTCAAATAAATTCGGAATTTCTTCTAAAAGAACTCAAACACTTCAGAAATTCTCGGCATCACTTCGCAAGGTATTGAATCACTTAAGGAAAGTCAGAAAGTATAAGCCCACTTCTGAATTGTTCTGAATCACTTCATAAAAAATCGGAACCACCTGTAAAAGAATTGAATCATTCCAGATATGTACGGAATCACTTCAGAAATTACTGAATCACTTCAAAAAAGTTCGGAATAGGATTGGGCGATCTTGGATCGATCTTTGGAAGATCGATCTTTTTCTTCTTCTTCTTCTTCTTCTTCTTCTTCTTCTTCTTCTTCTTCTTCTCCTTCTTCTTCTTCTTCTTCTTCTTCTTCTTCTTCTTCACATTTCAAGCTTATTGCATATCGCATATTAGCTTATTGCGTGCTCTCAACTTAGTGTTCTAGATGCACTTCCACAGTTATTAATTGGGAGCTTTCGATGCCTGTACCATTTTTGCATTGATATGATTGTGTGGCAAGTCCAATCATACTTCTATGCCCAGGGAAGTCGAGAAATTTTCCAACCCGAAAAATTCCTAGACCGAACCGGGAATCGAACCCAGCCACCTCCAGCATGGTCTTGCTTTGTAGCTGCACCTTTACCGACTGAGCTAAGGGAGGCCCCGATCGATCTTTTTCATCCCGATTTAAGATTTTTCGGATCGATTCTTTGTCCACGAAAAGATCGAAAAGATCGATCTCTTCTTTCGATCTTTTCGATCTTAAAAAAATTGTATTGACATTGCAAAAAACGATTTACTCTCACCCCAGACTGCGTGTTAAATTTAACGGACATTGTTCCCTACAATGACGTCACTATTTGCGATTCCGATATTAACGAATACAGCAACATTTGAAGGTTTTCCTACCCCCTTCCTTCTTTGCTCATTGCTTCTTACTGTCACGACAACATTTAATTGAATATTATAAAGGAAAGAATTTCTTGGGGTACCAACGTAAACAAGCGGTAGTCCATTCTATATGTCTAGATAGAGCTGGAATTAGGGCCTAACAGCTTTTGTAAACAATGACTTCTCTTGATGATTTCTAGAAATTCAAGGGTCGCCCACGCAAACCAACATCCTCATCGGGTAGGGAAAGACTTCCCCTATTCGATGGTTAGGTTTGTCTGCGAGAACGTGCCTTGAATTCCTAGAAATCATCGATAGGAGTCATTGTTTACAAATGCTGTTACACCCTAATTCCAGCTCTATCTAGATGTAAGAGTATTGATGGTCCGAAAGTGAGGATAACAATAACAAACAATTGGCTAAAGCCGAAGTGAGGATAGCAAACTAAGCACTTGAACATGGAATTGCGCAAGTGTGCGAGTTATAAACGTCAAGAAAGGTCAATAAGCATAAAAATCATAAGATCGATCTACCAAAGATTGATTCTTTGGTACCGATTTAATCAGTGGACCGATTCTAGAGCCAAATATAAGATCGATCCGTCAAGATCGGAAACGTACTGAAATACTTCTGAATGTACTGAATCACTTCAAATAAATTCGGAATCACATCTAAACGAACTAAAACACTTCAGAAATGCTCGGCTTCGCAAAGTATTGAATCACTTAAGGAAAGTTCTAAATCACTTTCGAAGGTACTGAATCACATCATACAAATTCTGAATCATTTCGGAAAGTACTGAATCAGTTCAGAAATGTTCGGAAATACTTCTGAAAGTACTGAATCACTTCAAAGAAATTCCTAATCACTTATAAAAGAACTGAATCACTTCGGAAATGTTTTGAATCACTTCGGAATTGTTCTTTATCACTTCAGAAAGTACTGAATCACTTTATAAAAAATCGAAATCACTGCTAAGAGAACAGAATCGTTCCAGATGTGTTCATAAGCACTTCGGAAAGTATTCAATCACTTCAGAAAAGTTGTAAACCTCATAGGAAATTAATAGATCACATGCCGAAGAGATATAACTGGATTAAAATGCAGAAAAGTAACAAAAAACTGGTTCGCCAGGTGCACTTGTCAAACTACCTCCATTATTTCGATAAACTGAAGTTATGGTAATCGTCAGCAAATTTGCTTGAAAATATATTTTCTACAACATTGCACAGAAACATTATTCTATATCTGTTGAAATAAAATGTTAGTTTTCTGGAATACAGTTGCACCTTTAGGAAAACTTAAGGTGGATATTCCAAAAGATGCAAAAGATAAAGTCATGAATATCTTCTGAATACACTTAAATGCCAAAATGTACGCATTCATCAGAAAACAATTAATTTGATAAATTTTCACTTTTAAACCACTGCTTAGCTTAGATTCATTTTACGCAAGATCACTTCTCAAGTAACATTTTTGGTTTTATGGTTACGACATGTAGAATGCCCGATAAAACTTACAATGTTACGACCACATTACAGTGTCTGGTCATGTCGTGAATGCTTACAGATGTCGTTTATTTCTAATCTAATCTAATACAAACGTAGTCAATACGAGAAAGCATCCTGGAATATGACTATTTAGATTACCCAAGTAACCAATAAACCCACTGATCCGTCTTTTTGCAACATAAGGCAAATATGCGGCAATATAAAGCTTAGCAAGCCCTATGTTAGCCGTGTATCAGCCTTATATTGTCTTACTTGGGTAGATAACGCCTAATTATTTTTCTTGTTAATATTGATATTTGCAAAACCATACGTATACAATGAAACATGAAAAAGTTACAGACAATTCTGGATGCCCGTTATATAACTTGAATAGTCCTTAAAAGCCCATTGCGAGAAATGAATCCTAAATAACCTGCTACATGCATACCTCGATATAACGTAACTGTCACTTCTGACTTCCATCGTCGATATCTTACAAATAACAATTCAATTATTCAAATTGGCATGCCCCATAGATGAAGGATAAAACAGTGACGTGAAAAGTGACAGTTACGTTATATTGAGGTATACCCGTTAAGCCAACAACAACTAATTTGAAGACACAAATAAAATTCCATCTCAGCCCACAGTCATCTGACTAGTCGGTCTAAACCGGAGTCCCCATGTTCCATCGCTCGTGCCGTTCATCAGCTGTCTAAAAGCCGGCAAACTGACAGCACATCGTAACGTAAACACAAGTCTATGCTAACAACATAATCCACCCAACCCAGCACCAGCACAACATGCTATGAGAGCGAACCATGTGCTTGGGAGGTTTGAAAACATTCGCTCTCTCGCGCATACACACAAGAAGCACATCATTCCAAAACCTTCTCTCAACGTTACGGAGTATTTCACAACGTCGGTAGCTGCCGTGAAGAGCGCGTGCTTATCATTCGGAGCTCGCCGTCCACGGAACAAATAGGTACCCCCGCGCTGCTGCTGTCTGCTGGTCCCATAGTTCGCTCGAGGATACATAGGTACCTACCTACTTTACACAGCCAGGCACCGTTTGTCTTTTTTATCGCAGCGCAGGTCGTTGGCTGGGCGCGGGTGGGGTAAGTGTCTGCCGCGAGATATAGCTACCGTACTTCAATTTTGTTTGCTGGGGCTGGGAAAAGCGAGTGACATCAGCCCCGATTGTGACGATGCAAATTTTGTTTTAATTTGTTCCAGATTGAGCGAAGGATTTATACCGAAAACAGTGACGTAAGCAAGCGAGTCGGTTCAAGTAAGGCGCCTGGGCTGTTAGTCGTCATCGTTCGGAAATAGCTGCAGCTGCTGGATTTCGTAAGTGATGAGTAGCATGAATTTCTTTCATAGATAGTCTTATCTGGGATCACATATCAGCTGAGTATTGCCGCTGTTTTCTATAAAAGTGCCTCGCCGGAATAGACACACCAATCATATTAGATCGAGTTTCTGGTGGTGAAACAGTGCAGAGCGCCGTTTGTTATTAAGTGTTAGAATTTTCGCAACTTAACCTTGACTTGGGGAAGGCGCGTGTGTGCTATTGCGTTTTGACGCGGCGAAGGGGCTCCGGAATTTATTGAACAATATTCAGCTTGGTCAATTTACACTCACTGCACCAATACCGTCCCGTACGGGGAAGTGATATCGCAGTCAGCAGGTCAGTCAATTTATCCAATCAGACACACACACACATCCAAGCCGTCCCGTAGTATATCGAGGCGGCACCGCCGTATAGCGTGTAAGTGTTGATGTGGTTGTATAGTAAACAAAAGCATCGCGGCGGCGTGTCCTTGATTCACATCTGATTTCTATGGTGCCTCTGGTGACCTAAACAAACCCCTTCAGCCTTTAGCTGTACCGGGTCGAAAAAGTAAAAGTCATCGTTAAGTGGCAACAACTGCTCGAGGAGAGGAATCATTTAGCTGCAGAATGTAATTGAGTCTAAGCGACACGGTATATTGGAATTAGTGTTACGTAACATGTAAGAGCGCTATCGGTGATTAGCCATTATTCAGTGTGGCGTGCATGGGCCCAATATCGGACAAATTGGCTTCAGTACAATAGGCTTATCAGTCGGTCAGTGAGAAGGTTGATTAATGTGGTTTGGCTAATGTCATGTTTGTGGTAAACGCTACGTCGAATTATCGTAACATCTAAAAGCTTTGTACAAACTAAAACAAGTTTTAACATGGTTACACCATATGTGCTGTAGATTGCGAAATTAAGCGAAGATTCTAGCTACCTGTCGTAGCTTTTACTAACCACCGGAAATGTGAATTCTAGAAAACGAAATCAGCAGTGATTAGCCCCAAAATCATAAATATGCGTCGGGCTAAAATTAGTAGTTGAAGAAAAAAACATAGATTGTGACCAACTTGGAGAACTTCAGTGAAAAGTAATAGTATTTCATGACCGATCGAAACATCGATCTTATGAATATGTTTGAATAGATTTTGTGTCCAATGCAGAGTGCCAAGTTAAGAAAAAATGTGTGTTACTCTTGTTATGTGTGAGGCCTGTCATAGGTTGAACACTGTGAGCGAGCACACTGAGCTTAAGTTGATCCATCAGTAATCAATCACTTCTATCAACGAGAATTGCTCATGCTTACCCCAATGGTGGAAAAGACTCGAGTTTTTAAAAGCCCAATTCCATTTTTTCAGTAAACAATGGATTTCGTTTCAGGGAAAGACAGGGAAGGACTATTAGTTAACGTTTCATGTCACTACACGTTTACCAAGAGTAAAAAAAACTTAATTTATCGGTTATCACTTCTTAAACGATTGGAAAAAAAATGATGAAGACACTGATGAAATGAAATGTTGGAAAATAATGAAAAATTATGAAATCCTGGACAAGTTTCCCTCTTTTGTCACGTATAGTGAATTTTGAGAACTCGATATTGAAGGGACCATCGAGTTATAGAATTATCGAGTAATTATTAGTAATTAATAGACTGTATTTCGTATAGCTTATGCATTGCATTGGGGTGTGCAACCCACTGGAACATGACGTACTTTATCTACCCATAAAAGCGTGACTGTCCAATCTCTGCGTGATTTTCTAATCAGATGGGACAGTTATGCTTTTGGAGGCAGATAAGGAATACAGGAACGCGATCAGTAGTTGTGAGATTACTTAATTACTTGAACTGGGTTCGTAGATAGCGTCTAAGTTAAAAAAGTGAATCAATCCAAAAAATTTATGAGGAGGACTCCAAGGCAATACTGTTTTGCGAAAATTTAAAAGATCTAACGAAATTATCAGGAGAATTCAAAGTAAACTCTGAGGATATATTCAAAGGCATTCTAAGTAACTCTCCAAGGGCTGCGACCCACTGGTTTCTTCAAATGACCTAACACTAACCCTTCGCTAACCCTTTTGGTATTTTAAGGTCAACTTTTTACCAGCTTTTAGGCTTGTGTTTGGAAGGATCTGAAACTTCTGAATATGTAATATTGATATTATTTTGGCAAATCATTGCGCAGTTTGCAATGTAGACTACTAGAACACTAATAACTATAACCTAACCTCAAAATTAATGTGAACTGATTAAGAGCTGAATCCAGCTTTCCATGCTCGGTAATGGCGGCCTGTTTGTATGAATAAATGTATCCTTAACTGTGCTTTTGACACTATCTGGATGTTCGAATTTCAACCCCTTCCCTTTCCCTCTCCCAGGAACAGAAGAAAATGGAACAACATACGCCCTCCAGTTAGTGTCAAAAAGCACAGTGAAGGATACATTTATTCATACAAACAGGCCGCCATTACCGAGCATGGAAAGCTGGATAAGCCAATTTTTAGCTGAAGAAGCATATTTTTGCATGAATAAGCTCTGAATAATGTTTGTTGGGGTAGTCCCGGGTTTCTCCTGGTTTTCCTGGTTAATTATAAAATTCCCGGTTATTTCCCGGTTCGCTGGCTACCCTGGACATAAGCAAAGTCCTACGAAATAAGATCAGAATAAACAAAATCCATTGACAAAAGAGTTTGCTGTGATGGTAGAATATATTTGAATATATCGTGATATATTTTAATATATTAACAAAGCAAATGTTGAGTTCACGCAAATGTCTAGCCCCTTGCTATGTTATTATAAACCAGTATAAAACATGAGCGATTATTATAATTGAAATATCGTTAAAATGTCACTTGACGAGAAGAAAACAATGCGCGAAATTACACAAAACACGTTTTTCTGATCTAATTTTAATGACAGCACACGTTTGTGAGTTCACAACATTAATCAATCATCAATCATATTAGCTACCTACTTGAGATGGTTTCCAGTAAGCCTAGTTTACAACGCTTGCTACGTTCAGCACAGCTTAGAAAACGAAACTGTCTCTCTTCCTTATCACCAACAAGTTATCTGGTTCCTAAAGGCGCACAAACGGCATCAATAGACTAAGCTTTTTTGTTTCATTTTGTGTCTACTTATTATGCGGCGTCATTTTGAAATCAAAATGCTGATCTTGGAAGAAACCAAGTTTGTTCTGTTTGCTGGTGGTTCACCTCTTTAGTTTGTATTTATTTACCAGAGAGAGAGCACTTGAGTCAAGACAAGTAGAGGTACTCGAACTTGTCAAACATTTGAGTTTAGTTCTACGAAAGAATGAGCTAATGCAAGTTCCGTCACCTGATCATACCTTCAATCAATTCATTACGTAAAGTTTCATTAACCTCGGCCAAGTATAATCAAATGAACGTAGTTCCGCCTGGCAAACGCGATTGCGATTAAGCTATCATACACAAATTTGCCAACTTAGGAAATCGCAGCGCGGTCGCTTTTGCGGAGTATGCGTTCTATTGCAAAGAATTTCGGTACACAACAAGCACTCATTCCGGTATCATTTTTCCTTTACAGAAATAAACGAAAACAAATCAGCGCACGATGGGTCTGCTGAGCGAGGGTAGTCCGCTGAGTTGGGAGGAAACGAAGGTACTGGCGCAGCATGTGCGAGAGCATGGCATCGAACAGTTCATCAATATGTACGCCCGGCTCAAGGATAGGCAGGGTGATGTCCTAAAGTGGGGCGACGAGGTCGAGTACATCATCGTGCGTTTCAACGACGAGAAAAAGGAAACGCAGGTTTCGCTGCGGGCTCGCGAGATGCTGGCCGTGCTCAACGAGAAGGAACACAGCGATCCGACAGGTGAGGCCGTGGGGAAATTTAAATGAATGACATTTGAACAAGTTCAGATATAGTATAGGCTTACCGAACAGAAAGTGTAGTTCAAAAATGTCATGCTCTTCAAATTTCAGAGGTCTTCCCAGTTGAGCTTTAAGACATGTATGTACAATAGGGTGCTTAACGTTTTATGTTTGCAATCACAGGCTTGTTGCCTATTGTCATGGCAACCACGTATTTAATTTTGACAGCATTTAGATAACTAGAACCAAAGCTCGAGTGATATTAGTGAAATTACAAATATACAAACTTGAAAACGATTGCACGACCCCTTAACTAGAGAGGGTCTAGTATAAGAGAGAAGCGGATTCAAAACTAACTGCCTTGGCAACCTATGCCTAGGTGATTTCTAACAACACTGCCAATGCAATGAAAATCGGCGGTGCATACTAGACCCTCTCTACGTTAAACCATCTTTACCATTTTTTTGCAAAGGCTCATATTTTGGGGTTATCCAATCATTGAACTTTTTTTTAACAAATGCTTGATGATTTAAATCAATTTTGTTGACGTCAATATTAGATTTTTTTTTCCTTAAAAATGAGTTTTGCATAAGTACCTTTCAATTTAAAAGCTAAACACGTCTTTTGGAAGCTGAGACTTTTCCCTTTAAGATACAAATCAAATTATGATGGAACACCTCGTTCTTTGCAATGAAACAGTAGAAAGCTAAATTACCTCTCGGTATTCTCCACAGAATTTCCAGGAATGCTCCCAGACACAATCGTTTGACAATTCCCTTGAAATTATGTTCAGAATTTCCATGAAAATCTGCTCGATTTTCCCTTGCATTTTTTCTCGGAAACCCTTTGGAATATTTTGCGGCACTCCCGTAAAACGCTACTCAGAATTCCCACGGAATTTCTTCATATATTTCCCTCCGAATTCTCCTGAAAATTCCCATTCGATTCTTTTCAGAATTCGCTTGAAAATATATTTAATTCCTTCAATAATCTGACCGTTTTTAATCTGAACACTTTTTAGTTTGAACCCCGCTAATCAGCACATCATGCAAACTAAAAACTGCTCAAACGTCATTTCGTTCATGGAATGGGAGTGCGAAAGGAACGATGCGAAACGGGACGCAGAATCAAAACAAAATAGCAAATAAGTTCATAGGGTTACTAGATGCTCAAATTAAAAATGAACCCCGTTAATATGCATGAAGTGTCGTTCCGATTAACGGGGGTCTACCAACCGGTGGAAACTAACGATTTTAAATTGGCTCACTACTTGACTCGCCTATTGGTCCCAAGCAAATCGATTAACGTACCCCATCGAAATTCTATGTTTGTTTTGATTCGATATGAAAGTTTGACAGATAAAATGAGGGATTCGTTGATTTTCCTATGTTTCGAGGGGTGCATCGACTAGCTTGGGACCGAAGATAGTACCAAAGCTGAGCCAAAAAGTTGACCACATTACTTCGGGACCTTCTAGTCTTAGAGTTACCTCTATGGGTCTACGGAAAATCTCATCAGAATTACTTTGGAGCAATTCTCAGACCTCGATTTACTAGAACGGTTTTCGGAATTCCCTGGAAACTCTCATCAGCACTCCCTTCTATTTGCCTACGAACTCCTTTGGAATTCTACTCCTAATCTCCATTGAGTTCTCTTTGAATTGAAATTGTACTCAGAACTAACATGATAGTCTTCTTAAAACGTGTAAGGTGTTTTCCTCACAACTTCCGTGGTGAAGCGGACGAGTGAAAGATCGCTCGACTTTGATACTTTCATCATTCATGAAACAAACCAACCGGGGTTTCATGACGTGGATGACGGAAAATGAAAATATATGAAAGGGTGTCGGTGAAAGGGATTGAAAGCCATAAAGAGGTTTCGTTTCAACTCGAACATCGACGTTACTTTCATTGAAAGGGGTGAGCAATGCAACGATGAGAAAATCCACAGCAAGCCTTTCGTTCTAAGCGTGTCTAGCTAGACGTTGTAGAAATGAAGCGTTTAACACGTTATATGAAAGAAACAAAACTCGAGTTCATTTTAGAGCTTCGAAAATGTAGAGTCTTGGCTGTAGGTGAGCATTAGCCGTAGTTTCAGGATTGTAGTCTTATCATCATAAAATTTGCCGTAGGGTTGTGAAAGCCTCCCCCGGATTCCCTTAGAATGCGCCCTGAACCTCCTTCCCATTTGCTTTAAAGTTCCCTGTAATTCTATTCACAAACCCCAGAATAGTCTCTTCAGAACTAGTTTGGCATTTACCTTTTCAATTGTCTAAAAAATAATCCACAAAAAAATTTCCACAAAATTCCTTTAGAATTATCCATATAATTCCTCCTCAATGCCCCTCAATTTATTTGGCGTAAATTCAATGCATCAAGTGTAAGAATCCTGAAAATTTTGCCATATTTGAAGTAAAAATAATATACGGCTTCAAGCTCTATATTAGCCGCATATCAACCTTAAAGAGCCTGAATTTATAAAGAGACGACATCTTATCCATTTGATAGGTCTTCTGCTCGATTGGAATGACTTTTCCTATGACTTTGACAGACAATCGATTGTTCCAATTTTGACATGTCACCTCTTTATAAATGTAGGCTCTTTAATCAACCTTATACTGCAAAAAGGCGAATTGACGGGCTTGTTGGTTACTTAAGGTACATTTAGACTATCTGATTTGTTGGTCTGATTCGAGCGGACTGCTCGATAATTTTGTCGGATGCAATGTTCAGATGCGTTCACACGTTTTCGTCATGATGATAAGATTTGACGTTTGATTTGTCGAAGGAAATAGATTTGTATTTAATTTTCATTCGACTCATTCAGCAAAATAACCGGGAGGTGAAAATATTGATTTTTTTTTTGTTTTCTAAAATTCACGGATTTGAACTGCTGAACAGCAAAAAATTTATTCTGATATCACATCAAACTGGATGCACTTCAATCGTGTCATAAATATGGTATAATATTACTTGCCAAAAAGGACAAAATTATCATTAAAACATTGCATATACTGACATTACGCTGCTTTTAATGCATTTGTTTATTTTTGTGGCCATAAAAATTGCATGAGAATTTCGACATGATTGAAGTGCATCCTCTTGGATGTAATATTAAAATTAATTTTTTGCTGTGAGAAGAATGCTTGATTTGTGTTTTTATGAACCGATTTAACTATTCAATATTATTATTTAATAAATTATTTTACTGATTGTTATTTACCAGTGTGATTGGTCAAAAGATACTATAACGGCTTTGATCATGGCATGGTCAACAAAACAGTGTTTATATAATACTAAGCATGTATTATATAAGAATAAGTATGTCAGACAGCAGGTTTGAGATCTAGCTAAGATTTCTACTGAGAAAGTAGTTGAGCTTCAGCGTAGTTCGTAAATCTAGAGAACAGAACCACAAAACTTCAGAAAATTTTACAGAATTTAACAGAAATTTGCAGAAATTCTAAAAAAATCATAAGAGAGATTGTAGATCTTCAGATAAATTTTCAAAAATTCAAGCAAGCTAAAATATGTTCAGACCAATTTGTAAAATTGTAAGGATAATTTTGCAAATCTTCAGGGAAATTCGCAGAACTTCAGACAAGTCCAAGAATCTACAGTGAAATGTAAAAAAAATCACAGAAGTTTAGAGATCTACTGAAATCTTTTGAACATCAGAAAAGTTCGTAGATCTTCAGAACAAAGCTACAGAACTTTTGAAAAAATCACAAGAATGGTCATAGATCTTCAGATAAATTTGAAGACCTTCCAAGAAAAAGTGCAGATTTTCTGATACATTTTTAGAATCTCAGAAATTTTAATGGCTCTCCAATGAAATTTGCTGAACTTCAGGGAAGTTCAGCGATTTAAAAAAATTATTGATACTATTTCAGGGAAATTTGTAGATCATGAGAGAAATATTTAAAACTTCAAGGAAGCTCAAATATTTCAAGATAAATTTTGAGAACTTTAGGTAATTTTAAACATCTCCAGGGAAATTTTCAGATCTTCAGGGTAGCCCGCAATTCGTAGATCTGTAGAATAGAACTACGGAGCTTCAGGCATTTTTACATAACTTAAAAGGTATTTGCAGAACTTTGGAAGAGTATATATTAAGAGAAATATTCAGAACTACAAGCAATTTTGCAGATCTTCAGAAACATTCCGTGGTTCAGACAGCTTCACAGTTTCAGAACAATTTGAGATCTTCAGAAAAAATCATAAAGACAAAAAGTACATCAATTCCAAAAACAAATCTTAGCAAAGTACCCAAGATTTTGCAGAACTCCATGGAAGATAGAAATAGATTGATCTGAAGAACTTCAGAGAAGTCCGTAGACTTTAAGAGAAGTCTGTAAAACTTCAGGAAGTTCGTACATTTTTAGAAAAAAAATCCAAACTTCAGCAAAACTAACATAACTTTGGGAATGTTCGCCGATCTTTAGAAATATTTACACAACTTCGTAAATACACAAGAGAAATTTTGAAAACATTAGCGAAGTTCAAATATTGTCTAAATATTTGTAGAGCTTTGGGGTATTTCAAAGAATTTCATGTAAATCCGCAGAACTTTATGGAAGTCCAAGATCCACAAAGAAATTTACAGGAATTTAGAGAAGTTCAGAGATCTACTGAAAAATTTACTGAACTTCAAGGCAGTTCGTAGATCTTCAGAGCAGAAACACAGTACTTAAGAAAACTTTACAGAATTTAACAGAAATTTTAGGAACTTCAGAAAAATTTAGAGGGTAGATCGTAAATGTACTGAAAATAAGAATTTTATTAAGGTTCTTGTATTTTAAGAGAAATTAACAGAGCTTCAGGAGAGTTCGCTGATATTAAGATATATTTGCACAATTTCAGAAAAATTAGAAGATCTTCAGAGAACTTCCAAAAATTTCCGGGAAGCTCAAAATTTTCTAGATAAATTTTTCAATTGTTTTAGGGAATTGTGTTGATGTTCAGAGATATTTGCCGAAATTCATTGGATCATGACAATCTGCAGAGAAAATTACAGAACCTTAGAGAAGTTCGTTGATTTTTAGAAATTTATTGAATGTTGGAGATAATTGTTGATCTTTACCCAAGTAAAATTGCAAGTTTTATCGAGGTTTTAAAGCGTTCTACAAGTCTAAAACATGGTCTACAGAACCCTCATAAAACCAAAATTGATGCATGGGTAAGAATCTTTTTTAAATTTTTAGTCAAATTTGCAGAACTTTTGAAGAGCACACATAACTTCAAATAAATCTGCAGAACTATCGAGAAATGTACAGACCTTCAACAAATATTTTTGATCTTCAAACATATTTTACCAGAAAACAGAAACAATACTTCAGGGATGTCCACGGGTTTTCAGAGAAATATGCAGAATTGAGTTCTTAACGGCAATTTTCAGAACTCAAGGAATCATGTAGATCTATAGAGAACTTTTCCCAATAGCTTCGTCTTCATTTTGCAGTTCTTGAAGGACACGATGAGCCAGATCCCTGCCGGTGTTCTTCCTGAGCAATTATTTCCTACTCCACAAAGTTCACCTTATCCTTCTAATTTTATTTAAAATAATAAAAGCAAATACGCCTCCCGAAGCTAGAGCAATTTTCCGATAACTCATTATGGAAGTATTTACTTTTGATTCCTGGTACAGTTTTGTTTTGAAATCAAAATTAACAGTTCTTTGGACATGTGCAAGCAGTGTGAACACCAGGAAACAGGGAGGTTCGACAATGGGTGTCGAAAGTAAAATCGAGCAGATTTTTCATTATGGCGGCGGTCAAAATCAGACCAAGAAATCAGATAGTCTAAACGGACCTTTAGGTTTCAAAATTGACCACTTTGTCAAGCAGTTTTGGCGTGACTTTCTACCAGCGATTTCACAAAACTTGACCAACTAATTTCTATTTTTTATGAAATGCACAAATGATGGCTACCTTTCTCGTGATTCTAGAAGAATAAATCTCAAAATAATGTTTTATTTCAAAGTTCGAGTGGTAGTAAACGTCATTTTAACTGCTCGAATGAAGTGGTTAATTGCCTGACCCGATCGAACTTTGCCCATCGCTGAAGGGTTTCTGTTGCTCGTCGTCAATGTGGTATTTATTGCTGAATTCCTGAACTCAAGTTGGACTTGAGGGGGACTTTTATGAACCAATTTTCTGTCAAACGCGAACCAGCACCTGATTGGTCGGGCGACGTATAGAAACGCGAGAAACTTTTCTTGCATTTTGACAGTCGACTGCGTTGTCCATAATGAAATAGTTTTGGCACGGTCGTTTCCACGAGAGAAGAAAAACACGTCACAGAAAAAAAGAAACCAGTTGTCTCCTCTTTCTCTTAGATTCCTACCATTGTTGCCTACATTTCGTGGATACACGGCAAGCACGTCTCCCTACTCGTAAATGTGTCTACTTAGGGATTCAGTTTTTTTTCTTTTCTGCAGGTGGGCGCATGACTGTCCCATGTTCTATGATGGTCATTCATATGGCACAATTATGCCTCCACCGGCAGTTTTCGTCTATCACATATTTGGTTACTGGAACATGATTAAATCATACAGTAAATATTGCTCACTAGCTAACCAATCCTTATTTTATTTTCTAGGCGTAAAATCACTCTGGAGACCGGAGTATGGAGCCTACATGATCGAGGGCACTCCCGGGAAACCCTACGGAGGCTTGTTGGCTCACTTCAACGTTGTGGAAGCCAACATGCGCTATCGCCGCATTGAGGTGGCCGAACTTTTGTCGCCGGGAGAGCACGTTATGTCGATTACGAACTTCCCACGCTTGGGTGCCCCCAATTTCACCTACCCGCGAGCGAAGCCAACACCCGAGGATGAATCCTGTGCAGCTCGATCGCTATATTTCCCCGATGAAGCTATCTACCCGGGACATCCCCGCTTCAAGACACTTACCCGTAACATCCGTCAGCGACGAGGTGAAAAGGTGTCCATCAATTTGCCCATTTTCCGAGATAAGAACACGGTGATTCCTGTCATTGGAAGTCTACCGGATAAACCGGACCACGTACATATGGACGCGATGGGCTTCGGGATGGGCTGCTGCTGTCTGCAGCTGACATTCCAAGCTTGTAACATAACCGAAGCACGTACGCTGTACGATCAGCTGACTCCGATGTGTCCGATTATGTTGGCCCTGACGGCCGCTAGTCCAGCCTATCGGGGATATCTGACCGACGTAGACTGTCGTTGGAATGTCATTTCTGCCTCAGTGGACTGTCGAACGAAGGAGGAGAGAGGAGAACTACCGCTCAAAAATGATCGATTCCGAATCTATAAATCTCGCTACGATTCCATCGATTCCTACTTATCCCCAGCTGGTGAAAAGTAAACTCTTTAACCATTTAACCCTTGTATCTGTGGATTAATGTGATTTTTTTTTGCCGAACTTCTAGGTACAACGACGTGCCTTTGGTGTTGGACGAAAAATTGTACAACCGTCTCCGCGAAGGTGACATCGATCACCTACTGGCGCAGCACGTTGCACATCTCTTCATTCGGGATTCCGTTTCCTTGTTCAGCGAAAAGGTTCACCAGAACGACAAAGAGGACACCGATCACTTTGAGAACATTCAATCTACCAACTGGCAGACGATGCGCTTTAAACCGCCTCCACCGAACTCTCCAATCGGTTGGCGCGTAGAATTCCGACCATGCGAGGCACAGCTGACCGATTTCGAGAACGCTGCCATCGTTTGTTTCGTGGTACTGCTTACCAGAGTGATTTTGTCCTACCAGTTGGATTTTCTCATTCCGATCAGCAAGGTGGACGAAAATATGCAAACCTCTCAGAAACGGGGTGCCGTGTTGACGGAGAAGTTCTGGTTCAAGAAAAACATCACCGGCATTTCCACCGGTGGACAAAAGAACAGTAACGATACAGCAGCTCAGGTTAACTCGACGGAAGCGACCAATCACGACAACGAAAACGGTATAGACGAGGAGTACGAATTGATGACTATCGATCAGATCATCAACGGTAAGGAAAATTTTCCCGGACTCGTTCCGCTGATCAACAGCTATCTCGGATCGATGGATGTGGACACCGATACGCACTGTACGATTCAGCAGTACCTCAGGTTGATTCAGAAACGGGCATCTGGAGAGTTGCTCACCACCGCCTCTTGGATGAGACAGGAGATTACCGGGCATGAAGAGTACAAGTGAGTATGACTTTTTTTTACCTCAACGGGCAGCGTTGCAGATAACTAGGGACAAGTGTGGTTACTTATAGGAGTGTCTCCCTTCCAAATTTAAAAAAATATTCTTAATAAGAAAAACAAAGTTCAAACAAGTTTGCGTAAATCGACATCTGTCTTTTATAATTTAAACTCTCTTAAGCACACCTACTCACATTACCCTTCATCCATCTCCCCAACAGGCAAGATTCGGTGGTCAGCGAGCGCATCTGCTACGACCTGCTGAAGAAGGCCAAGGACATCCAGGATGGCATCCGACCCTGTCCGGAGCTGCTGGGAACTAACATCAACTCGAAGACCGCCGACAACATTCCGCCAGCGATCGAGAAGCATCTGACCAAACTGTGCTAAACTCATCTTATTGGAGTGTCTATAAACAATACCGTCTCATGCCATTGTGTTTCCATGCATTTAATCCGATGAGAAAAGAAGCTGAAGTTCGAACCAGAATTATTCACGCAAGACTTGAATTGTAACAGTTTTGACTATGCGGGTAAATTTTTCCTTGTTTCGGTTTGATCAGAGGTCAGTTCCAATTTGCCGGCAATGAAAACACAAACTCAACATAAACATGTCTATTTGCTGTAGGACTGCTTCAAATTATATTGTTTTTTTTTTTTTTTAATAAGTGTAGTAACGAATAGCCAGTAGACGATCACGTATACTTAAATTTTGGAAACGATTTTTGTACTTTTTACCGTTGGGTAAGCAAAGACCTTTATTAAGTTTTGAGTTCTGATTTGAGAGATACAATTATATTATACATACATGTTATACTTTAGTTGGTAGCGAGGGAGTTCAGAGTATGTAGAGGGCATTTTTCTTTTTCTTTTCATTACAAGTTAGCAGGCAGGTGATTTATCCGCGGTAGTATTCTTTTTTCATGGGCCAAATAGAACAATAACATAGTACTTTACACATACCAACTTGCAGAATAAGAAATGAGTGTTCTTCATGTATTTTTACCGTCAATCAATAAAAGAAACGGATCCTGAATCTGACCTCACAAATCTGTCATGGACTTTTAATACCGCAAACCCCAACATGCGCTCTTACGTCTGTTAGAAAATTGACTAGGTCTACTTCGTGGGAAAAGTTAATTTCAGGGGATATTCCGAGGAATAAAAAAGTCAAAGAATCCTGTTACCGTGTAAATGTACATATGGGTCCTACGGTAGAAGCTCGACCTGAGCGAAAGCGCAGTTCTAGAGCGAGTAAGCACTCAACCGAACACTAGCATATTGCTATTCGGTATGCACACATGCGTGAGAACCATAAAAGTGATCAGTAATGATCGACATAACGATTATTTTAATTATATGTAGCTACAAACAAGCAGTGGCAGGACATCGCAGCAGGCGGAGGAGTCTCAATAAGAAAATTTAAGCAAGTCGATAGAAATTTTACCTTGCTCCTGGTCATGGCAAAGGCATGCAGCCACCCAGGATAAAAATACAGAGTGAGTCGTTTGTGTTACACCCGAAAGGAGGTGAAAGTAGACCACATTTGCAGCAAAAAAATGTATGACAAGGTAGATCGAAAAATCATTCCTTACCGAGTTATTGATCTATTTATCACAGACAAACAGACAAAACACATTGAATATTGTCCACTGTAAAACATCGTCGCTTAAACATTACCGCCATCTGTTGAGTACACTGTGGTGGGCACTAGAAATACTCAGAGGGAGAGATGGGCGGAGAGAATGTTTTGAGTCAAATGAACTGTCTAAATCTGAGCCAATCGAACATTCCCATTAGAATTTTTCCGAGGATTTTTTATTCTTACTAGAATAAATTTAAGAGTATTGCAATCGAACAGAAATTCCATTACCTTTATGTTTTGTGTGCTTCTCAAATTACACTAGTTTTTGGAATCAAAAACAATATTCTAACTCTATTGATTAGTTGTTCTTCGTTGGTTAATTAATGGCACCAAGAAATGTGCAAAATATTGCGATGCAATCAATTATTATTTTGCACGTAAATCGAATCAAAAATAAAAGTCATGTGACATGCTAGCTACTAGCAAGGTTTGCAAGATAATTTAGGTACAAATCCCTGCTGCCGAATTGTATTTTGTTTTCTCCGCCTATCTCTCCCTCTGAGTATTTCTAGTGGCCACTACGCTGAACAGATTGCGGTAGTGTGTAAACGTCAAACGTAAGGGAATTGACTATGCGCGCCCCAGGTGGTCCGTTAAATGCTTATTCGATGAACAATTTGCGAGTGTTTTGTCTGTTTGTCTGTGTATTTATTTTGCATTTCCGAGCGCTACTTCGTCGTAATCGTCCATTTCCGTTCTATCGAGCAGAAAACATCAGTACATAATCAATGATTTCACCGTGCACAAATCAGTAATACGTTTGTACCGATGCGTTAGTTCACAAGCTACAACACAAAGCCTATTAGAGTGTATTGTGAGAATATGTACACTCATTGTTCTCAAACCAAAAGAAGCGCTCCTAGCGAACTCGCTTTTTCTACCTTTATCCGTAGGACTAAGAAAATCCAATGGCGTTTCAATGTGTTTGGAGTTTGGACGGAATTGAAACTCGTAGGACGAATTTAGAATCAAGAAGCAGTGGCTCTTTATCAAATTCAACGGTACGTATGTAATTTAGAAGTCATCTGTTTAGAAACATTTAATTTATTGTTAAAACCCGTTCAAGAAAGAGGGGTAAAAAGTGGGTTGTGCTTAGTAGGACGGAAATTAGATCAAAAACCCTATCACTTTGTGCTCGGGCACTCGCGAATATAAGGTGATCCAAGAGACGTTTCTCAGTGGAACTGACAGTTAGAAATCTAGAGTTTGTGTGTGATTTGGTGTTAATGGTGCTGAATTTAAACATAAACAAAGCAGAAATTCATATGAGAATAACCTGCCAGTTCTACTGTTATCTGTCAAAAGTTCTTGGTAAACAAAAAAGTCAGCTGATCTTAACTGTCTCGTGTCGTAAACTGCCAGTTTCAGCGTTGCCAGATTGTTTTCAAGCTTATCGGTATGAGAGGTTTAACAAATCTGTATTTATCAGTATTTGCCATTTAAATTAATTTTATATCTTTGGCGATTTTGAAGGCGAAAATTTAAACTTTTGGAACAAGAACTAAGCCGGAAGAAATTTCCGGGTTATGTTTAAACTACTCTGTTACCTGACTTATAACGAATATACGTTGTATACGAGTACCCCGAATACAACGTATAGTTCGTCTAATTTTACATTGCAAATGCTATGCAAAATTAGACGAGTCATACGTTGCATTCGGGGTACTCGTATACAACGTATATTCGTTATAAGTCAGGTAGCACAGTAGCCTCTGAAGGAAGTCGATAAATCATCCAGTAAAAGAAGACAGAAGCTCTTCTGGAGGAAATTCCAGGAGTAGCCATTTCCAGAGGAAGCTAAAAGAAGAAGCTCGGAAGAACCTTCCAATAGATGACGAAAAAAAAACTCTTCGAAATAAGCTCATGGAGAAAGTTTAAAGAAACTTCCAGGAGAATTTGATAGGTACTTTCGGTAAAAGTATAAAGGAACTTTCTGGAGATGCTAGAAGAAACATCTTGAGGTAGTTTAGAAGAAACTTCTCAAGGAAGCCGCAAGAAAAAAAAACCCGGTAGAAAGAGATTTATGGGGGATGTCGAAAGAAATTTCCGGTGGAAATCGGTTGAATCTCCGCCATCCTCATCCCACATTCATTGTATCCTAAAATCCGCATTCGCATCCACATCAACGAAAAAAATAATCATATTTTATTTTCTTGTCCAGATATTCTTCTTTCCAGGGTTGCTTCCACTCACTTGCTATAAAAATTTGATTTTCGGAATTATGAAATCATTAGACATTATAACGATAATTAGTACTTGTAAGTAACAAGAAAATGTTGTTGTTGGCAAACTCCATAGGCCATTGCCGCACAACCACGTATCCTACGAAAAGATCCACCCAGTTGACAAGCAACAATCTCATCCCTCACACACTTAGATTTTTTTGCCGAGATGGGCACCACCGAGCAGCTTAGCATTTTATTTTGCTGGAAATTCAGCAAAAAATATGTTTGTTAGATGAGATCTCGGCAAAATTCCCGTTTGTTAACTGAATCTCGGCAAGTTTTTCCCTGATATCCAGCCAAATAAAATGCCGAGCTGCTCGGTGGTGCCCATCTCGGCGAAAAAATCTAAGTGTGCAGGATGTCCGCTCAGACTCACGAAGATACGACCAGTGGAGGGCTAGTATGGGTGACTTCTCCGTAGCATCAGCAGGTCCTTCGTCCCATTACCCAGCGGCTCCGGTATCTCTGCCGACAGCGGCGTCACCACAAACTGCTTCTGCCGGTGGAGCCCTACTGGGGTCCGCTTCCAAGCTGAAAGCACCGACACCAATATCAGCCAGATCACGATGCAAGAAGGCTATCCCATTGCATGCGAGTTCCTCTTTGATGCCCTCTTCCGGTATGCGAGTTGATTTCAGTCCCTGTCCAACACAATCGTCGACTGCCCAGAGCCAATCGCCTCCGGCCAACATTTCGCCAAGAGATGATTACTCCTCGGATTATTCATCACCTATCACACGACACCCAACTTTCGGAAGCCCCAGAGGGTCTACTTTGGCAATCCAATGGAACATGAATGGCTTCTATAATAACCTTTCGGACCTAGAAATTCTTGTGCAAGACAGCAGGCCCACCATCCTGGCAATCCAGGAGATCTACCGGGCTAGTGTCGGTAAGATGAACCGTGCTCTTGGGGGTCAATATCAATGGATCCTTAGGAGGAACGAAAACATTTTCCACTCTGCGGCAGTCGGGGTGCTAACCTCGATACCTTTCACATCAATTCAGTTAGACACAGATCTTCCAATCGTGGCGATCAGGATAGAGCATCCATTCCCGATGTCCGTTGTCTCGGTGTATCTTCCGTGTGGAAAAATACCGGATCTTAGAAACCAACTATCAAATATACTCCAGCGCGTCGAGGGTCCCATCCTGGTACTAGGGGACATGAACGGCCACCATCCCACTTGGGGCAGCCCAATTGCAAATACCAGAGGCTCCACTATGATGGAAGTGGCCAGAAAACTGGATCTTGTCGTTCTCAAAGATGGTGGCACCACATATACCAGTGGTCAGCGAGCCACATTTATAGATGATCTATGGATGTGACCCTTGCTAGCGCCAACATTATCAGCAGACTCCTCTGGAGCACCGAGGAAGATCCCATGGGTAGTGATCATCACCCGGTGGTAATTCGACTTGACGACCAGCCACAAGACATCTCACGTAGACACCGGACAATATCCAGGATTTCATCAGCTCTGTCTACCAAGTGGCAACCACATCAATCCCGCGGACAAGTCCCAACCAGGGAACCAGGTCGTTACCATGGTGGTCTCCTGAGACAAAAGCTGCTGTTAAGGCCAGAAGGAAGGCTTTAAGCGCAGCTAAACGACTGCCCGCGGACGACCCCTTGAAGGAAGCGGCACAAACTGCATACAGAACTAAACGGAACGAGTGTAGACAGACCATCCGTACGGCCAAAAGCTTGAGCTGGGAGAATTTCCTCGACGGTATTAACGCTGGACAGACGGCCTCTGACCTATGGGGTAAAGTCAACGCGTTGAGCGGTAAACGAAAGTACGGTGGCATGGCTATTCGAATAGACGGCTTAATAACCAGAGACCCCGACAAAATTGCACATGCTATGGGGGAGTACTTTGCAACTCTTTCGGCTCTTAAAGGATATGATGACCATTTCCGTCGCACAACAAATGCGACAACGCATTCGCTGGATAATTTCCACATCCCGGAGGACGATCTACCACTGGAAATTAACCAACCTTGAATCCAGACTGATCTACGGTTTGGAACTGACTTGCCTGGCTGCTGATAGGTTGATTTCCAAACTGGCTCCAGTGTATTATCAGGCCATTAGGATCACATCAGGTCTCCTCCCATCCACCTCCAGGTTGGCAGCCTGCGTGGAGAGTGGAAGGCTACCTTTTAAAAAGTACATTGTTGCATCTGTTTGCAAGAA